TTTTTTTTTCATCTGCGGGCACCTCATTCTCTGGACCTGTTACTATAGAGATACCAACACTTGGTATTTTAGATTTTGTTCATCAGAATAGACAGTCTATCATTGTTTCCCAGTGTGATAGAAATGCAGGCTTGATATTTACTTTGAATTTTGATTTCAGTTTGAAATCTTGACATGCAACCAATTTTTCTTTTAAAGAAATACACTCTTCTAGGGTATAGGAGGTCCTACGTTACTTTTATAGTCTTTAGTTCATGTTGAGTGCATGTATATAAGTGCTTACATATGTAACCTGAGTAAATAATTGTGATATTAAAATGGACTGAGAGTTGAATATTTTAGAATGGTTACTTTAGACAACAAAAGTTAACATTTCAGCCAGGGAGATTTATCTGTATTTTTGGACAAGCCCTGTGAAAATACCAGTGAATGTTTTCTAAGATCTGTATTTGTTTCAATTAGAATGTCTTTGTCTTTAAGCAATGAAATAGCTCAATTAAAATTAACTCAAACTTGTAGGCACATGTAATTTTTTTAGTATAAGAATTTGCACTTGATCTAGGCCTAAAGGCTGAGAGGGGATAGGGTAGGGAGTCAGTAGACGGAATAATTCCAAGCTGGTTTAATAGACTAATCAATGATAGGACTCTGGGTTAGTTTTTCTGTAGTTTACTTAGTTCCTACCTTGGTTATAAAGTGGTGGCGGGAATTCTAAGCATCACACCTTTATACAACAATGCACAAAGGCAGAAGCAAGTCACTGTCTTGCTTCAGTTTTTTTTAAACCTGAGGTGATGTCACGACAGCCTAATAGTGGAGACTTCTGTGTGCTTCAGGAGCCAGCGTTTTGTTATACACCCAGCCTTCACCTCTCACTGTCAAAGAGAATCACTGACTTTGGCGAATCAATATTCAGTCCCTCGGGCTTGAGCTTGAGAGGGCCACGAGGATCCCAGGTAGGAGAGGAGCAGTAATTCCTCCCAGAGTGGGTTCTATCTTAATTTTTATAATTTAGATTTTTTTGAGAATTAAAATATGCTTACATCCCAAAGAAGTTTCCAAAAGTAAAACTGCATTGAGGAAGACAATTTTCAAATGAATATTGAACGCCACGCCTTTCCTTTGCTTACAAGGATATATTTTCAGAAACAGTAGTATGTCAACAGGCTGAGCAAGACTGTCTTCAGCTTGGATTCTAGAGATGAGGACAATGACTGAGAAACAGCCTTGGTTCTTGGCACCCCCCAAAAAAAGAAAGGGGTACCAGATACCATCACGGTGGAATTTATAATTAGATATAATAACTCATGGTCCCCCAGTGGTCTTATTCTGGAGACTGCACACATGTCTGAACACTTACTCATTTGCTTACACTGAAGCTCATTTAAGTTCAGAGAACAAAGAAGTCCAGTCCCTGCCTCAGGGACTTTGAAATTTCCTTGTTTGGTGGAGGCAAGATTTTGCTTCTCTTGCCTAATCCAGTTGAGCAACAGAGGAAGAGGGGTCGGAGGCCTTAGAGAGGCAAGGTGGGGCGGGGCCATCCTGGCAGGAGACAAGCACTGGCCTCTAACTGGTCTCACTTCTGGGAAGTGCAGCCAGGTGTGGAAATGAACATGATCAGAAAAGCATTATATTTCTGTGGGCTTTGTAGAATGGATTTTAAAATGAATCCCTGGGATTTCTAGACAACCTTTAAGGATTAGAAAAAAATTAGTATTTTTAAAAAGCTAATTTCTTTGACATACTACTGTAATAAAGGATATGCCCTTACTAGCAATGGATGAGGAGGGAAAATAAGAAATGAACTTAAAATTTAATGTTTGCTTTTAAATGAACCTATTACTTAGCTTTCACTTTTATTGTGAATTATTATATGTGAATGTTTAGGTTTCTTGTTTCCTCAGGCCTGAATGGGAATATTTCCTTTTTCTCACTGCTGATGTCCATGATATGATTTTTTTATCCACAGAGAGAGGTATAGAAATACACTAAGATCTTTTTCAAAACTTCGCCTTGCTTAGCAAGCAAAGCTACCTCTGTCATAAACACCTTTTTACATTTTTTTTGTCATACTAGGTATAGGTTTGAAATCCACTACAGTATTTCCAGACTTTGAATTTGTATTCATTAGTTTTAAATTAGAGTTGGGAGGTTTTTATAGCATGTCAACATACTTGCCCTCATTTTCTACATTTAAGTACATTTTCTAAGTTGGACAGTTATCAAATAACAAAGATGTTTATGAAATTCATCAAGTATGTTCTCATTTTAGCATTAAGCAAAATTTGTGGGGCAGGAGATACAACTGTTGGTTCCTATTTGTTGTTCCTTGTACAAGGAGTCAGAATATTTAACCATGTAAGACTAATTTCTTTTGAAGTCGAAGGTGAAAACTACATAATTTTCCTTCAGTTCCTGAACTGGGTGAGGCAATTGGACCAATTGCCTCAATTGGTGTGAAATCTTCTTTGCCTCAGAATCAGGAATCACACTGTTTCTCTTTTCACAACCCATTGCCCTGGTAGGAATGGTCAAGTCCTATGGCAGGGGAAGTGGTCTCTGCCTTTGTCTGTCCTCTGGTCAGCAGCTGACCTCTGCCTCCTGGAGACCTCTCCACTTTTGACATCTCCTTCTTTGGAGGCTGCATAGTAACCCTTGACCTGCAGCTTTCACCATGCTAGAATGACGCTAGAATGACTTTTCCGTATGTCTGACTAAGCTTGTTTCCATTAAGTAAGAACTAAGCTTGTTTCTGTTAAGTAAAAATTTATTCTATGTATTTTCAGATTGAGAAATAGCTAGTGTTGAGAAAGATCATTTAGAATTAAATGACTATGTAGGGGAATTTGATTTATTTGTAATCTGTATAAGAATTTTTTTTTTTTTGGTATTGGGAATTGAACTCAGGACCTTGCACTTGCTAGGCGGGCGCTTGTGCCACTGAGCTATATCTCCAGCCCAAGAAAATAATTCTAAAACATCAAAGTGCCAGGAAACATGAGCTGAGAGATTTAAATGGGCAAAAGTCATGGATTTAGACAGAAGCAAGAAAATGGTCATACTTTCTTCAGTAGTCTTGTTTTCCTATTAATTTCTGATAATTTTTGTCAAGTAGATGAATAAACTCAAGGTTATGAGTTTATCATAACCTTCTTACTTATTTTGGCCATATTTGCATTTATCCAACTTTCTCAACATTTCCTGGTATCCATTATTTCATTTGTGAAAATGTGGCTAGGATCACTATTTTTCTGCACACTTGACCCCTAATAATACATAGGAGCTACTGTACCCTTATCACTTTCTAGTATTTTTCAAGTTGTCCGGCATAAGGGAGAAGAAATAAAATACATTAATTAAAATCAATAAATTGTATTTAATAATTTCATTTTAATTAAAATCATAAAATACTGAAAATATGACAAAAGAACACTGAAACCATAAAGATTAAAAAATTTATAGCAATAAAAAAGTACCAGAAAAATGTATGACAATAAGGACATACATTAAAGTCAACCAGGAAACTAGCATTTGATTGACCAGCATTGCTAAAGAACAAAGCGTGATGAAATAAAAAATTAAAGCAATACCTAGCAAGTATCAGAGAAGAACCCAAGGTAGATGTGAAAATAGGGGACAAGTGGATAAAAGAGCAGCATGATGAGGGAAAGGTCGGCCATATTGTACCTGATGGCTCTGAAATAGACAAGACGGTTTAGAACACGCGGTTCTGATTCCCTGGCAATCTGCAATCTCATTTGCTCAGTTATCAGGATTAAGGTTTCCTAAGATTTTTTTCAACTTCTGCAATATGAAAGTAGTGAGGGAAAGAGAGGAAACACATGCACAGAGAAGTAGACACAAAGATCCTGGGACCGTGAGTCACCCCATTTCTTTAAACGTGGGCATCCTAGGCATACTGGTCGTCTCCAGTCTCCATGTAGATTTTTCTGTGTCCATAGTGTGTCTTTAGACTGGGAGATTCTCCCCACTGTTTCCCACCTGAGCTGAATCTGACAGCCACTAACAGTGGGTGGTCTTGGTAAGTGCTACTGGCCTCAAAAAGGGCAGTTCATCTGAGACACACACTTGGTGTGCTGAGTACAGCTCACTGATCATAGGCAGCCAGGCAAGACTGCTCTGAAGGCAACATCAGACGATGTCTTTTCTGAGCTGGGCTTTAGACAGCTGTACTTGGGAGAATTTTTGTGTAAATGAATAGGGAGTTAGCCTGTGATATTCCTAACCAATTCATAAATCTTTGAAGTCAATCACTTCTCTAATATTTATTATGCCAAATTCCAGAGGGGGCAAAGCAGCTAAATTGTGAGCTTGTAAATGCTAAGGAACCAGCTTTGGAATGAATGTTCTCAATTAGAGTAACTGCCCACTTCATCATGATAGAGGAAAATTTCCTAAGATTCATATACATGCAACTTGTGCTGAGAGATTCAAAGTATATTTATAAAACCTCACAAGACAGCTCGTGCTTTCTTCCCCTTTGTGGCAGATTTCTGAGACTAAAGTCACCACATGACAAATGTCCATTTAGAGGGAGTGAGCGTGTGTGGGTGCATGATTTCAGTATTAACCCCTGAAGGGCCAGTGATATAGATCAGTGGCGGAGCACCTGCTTGCCTGGCAAGTGCAAGGTCCTGAGTTTGATTCCTGGTACCAAAAAAAAGTTGCATTAATATTACCTGGAGACTGGCTGCCTTAAGGGATTTGGGAGACATCCCATACTTTGTGGTCACATTTGGAATCAGCTATGATGCCCTTATTGTTTCCAGTGTCTCTTCATCTGTTGTAATTTGGTCACGTGTTGTGTGTAATAGTCCCTTCCTTCCCTCAAGTGGCTTAGGATATCCTTGCTGTGATTCTTCACTTGATCAGTTTGTGTAATTCTGTCCAGTGTTATGCTCATTTACATCTTTGCAAAACCCCGGACATTCCTCAAAGCTGTTCCACCCCAAAGACCAGTGTGTGTGCTGGTCTTTGGGGACAGTTTCTTGTGTTTCTTAGGGGACAGTGAGGTTCTGAAACTAAGACACAGGATAAGAAGGGAAAGGACTTGCTCTGAGACAGTAAGTAGGGAGTCTCCGGAGAGGGACCTGCTGCTGTGTTCTTTTAAATGTCCCGGAGGAATTCTTAAAGGAAAGAACAGGGTAAAGAGAATCTCATTTCCAAGCCGGGTGCATTACCAAACACGGGGTATAGCATTCCCGGGTGTGGAAGCCCCGCCACCTCTGTCAATCAGACCTCCACAGCCATTCCTGGATACCTGGAGGCGGGGCTGCACTGGACAGCCCCGGGCTAATCCAGCACCTGGGGCAAGCACAGCCAGAGTCGTCAGTGTTATTCTGGGCTCCGCCACCCTGCCTTTCGAAAGCGCGTTGACACCTGCGACCTTGCACACGGTCCTCGGACTTCAGACTGGTAATTACATCTGGATTATAGCTGAGAGTGTGACCCAGCCTAAACACGTAAGCATCAAGACCGATGTGTGCAATCCTGCAATCTTAGTAGGATCTGAATTTTGCTTTGTTCTTGCCCAGTGTATTCTTGGATTTCTCTTCTCAAGGAGCAGAATACATGGGGTTTTGGAGGCATTTAGAATCCTGTCCCAAGCTTTTAAATGAAAAGTTGTATGTAAAAGAAAATATAGAAAGCTAGTCAGGTATAGCCATTTACTGTGGCCTTGCTAGAAACACCTACATTGTGAAGAGCTAAGAGACAGTTCAAAAACTCTTCAAAATTACCAAGCTCTCCAGCATACAAGTTTGCTCATGGGCATGCATCAATGACAAACATCTTTTTTATGTTTCTAAAGATGGAAACTGATTTATATTTTATTTTTTGTCTTTTTTTTTTCTTTGTTTTTGTTTTGAGACAGGGTCTCGCTATGCAGTTCAAACTGGCCTTGAGCTCACTTTGCAGCCCAGGTTGGCCTCGAACTCGCAACGATCCTCCTGCCTCAGCCTCCCAAGTGCTGGGATTACAGGCATGCGCCACCACACCTGGCTTAATGACAAACACCTTAATAGAGAAACAGGCTACAAAAGGCAAACTCATGTGTAGTAATCTTTTATTCTGAAGGGTATGTATGTCCCAATGAGATTTAAATTGTAGATTTTTTTTTCTACACAAAGATGCAATTACAATGCATATCATTATGGAAGCTTCAGAGTCTTATGTGACAGTTTTAAGGCAGAGTGGTTGTCCTCCCAATCTTGGAGAGGGAACAGTCTGTCTTGCCTGCTTCTGATTTCACCAGTAACAAGCACAGGTCACAAGCAAGCTCTCCTGCTGGCATTTCTGGCGTGGCACTGGTCAGCAGGTGACTTCTGTGACTTACTTGAAGTGAATTTGCAGCTTTATTTTATGCTCAGCTTAAAGAACTCAGTCACTTGCACTTCCTTGGGCTATTGAATCTCCAGAGTATAGAAAATATGGTAAAGTGTTGCCAAAATTAATCATTAAATTAAAACATTTGCAAATTGTAATTTGCAAATAATCCCTGAGATGTGTTCACGGGAAGAAATTTCTATACAGAATGAACACATTGGCACACTGAGCAAAACAGGTACTGGAGCTAGGTGTTGAGTTTATAGCTTGTAGCCTCGTGTGTTTCACTGGTCACATGTGATCCTTGGACTCGCCTTGTGATGTGGGGTTCTGCAGGGATGAACGATGCTTGAATGCCTTGACTTTAGCTATTGTGGTGATCCTAAATAACCGGAAATGCAGCCCAGTGAATTAAAAGAGCACATAGAAAACAGTTGCTTCAGTAGCCATTGTTGGAAAACAGGAAATGAAAGGTGTTAACAGACAGGAAGATGAAATGTTAATACCTGCTCATTCAGAAAAACATAATTTAACACCTCTATCTACATAACTTTCTGTTGCTTGGGTAGTTGGCAATGTTATTCAAGAGTTCTAGATAAGCTAAGATGAAATTCTTCAACACAAGGTCTCAGGCAATTTTTTTTTACTATTAATTAACTAGCTTACTATGTCCAATAATTGGACACAAACTGAAGTGACATGCTGTATAGTGATGCTGCTAAACACATACTCTTACAATAATGTGCAAGAACTTTACGAATGCTAGCATTGTGTAAATGACTTGTGTCTAGAGAGCTACACTAGATATTACATACTGTTCATTCATTCCATAAATTATTCGGTCCAGTGTGTACTGGATACTGACCATTTCCTGTATTTAATTTTACCCACGTAGGACTGAATATTCAAATATTTTCCCATTATAGACATTATTATTTAACAAGCCCAAGGACATCATTACAAGGACATTTGGTAGGAACACTTAAGTGAGCATAATTGTTCATATTTGTACTTTAAAGATGATGATCAGTGGACGCCTAAATGTCTGCAGTCTGTGGAAGCTTAGGTTGCTTAGAAACTAGGTGACTATGGGCTTGCTATGGTGACTCTGTTTATCAGTGAATACAAAACTGACCCGTAGCTGGCATTGTGCTCAATCTCTATATTTTGCTGATAAGAACATTCAGATAATTCCTTTTATCATATCAGCATTTTTATTATACAATCAAGCTAAATAATATTATTGAATTTTGAAAATAGTTAACATGTAACATGACAGTTAAGTTTAAATTCTTTTTTTTTTTTTTTTTGGTTTTTCTCTCGTACCGGGAACCGAACTCACGACCTTGCACTTGCCAGGCAGGCGCTTTTGCCGCTGAGCTAAATCCCCAGCCCCTTAAATTCTATATGCATTTTTAATTTCAAATCTATCCTTTCCAAATTTATATAGATTTCATCTGCGAAATCACCAGGCCTTTGAAAGTTGATCCCAGGTAACTTGAAAGTGCAGGTACCGCCTCTCCTGGCACAGTATTAATGTGCCCGTGTCTCTTTTTAAACTATGCTGTGATGCTAATAGATAGATGATTTGGATTAAATTAACAGCATGATAAAAAACTAGCACAGTATACTATCCATGGGCTAATTAAAGGTTCAATAAATTTGATTTAGGTAATAGTTCTATGTCAATAACCTATAAATCTCTAGTGTAACTTAAGGACATTTTATGTTACATTACAAAGGCCTTATTTGTAGAATATATAATATTTCTCTTTGAAATATTATGTTCAAATATACCATGTAATGGTGTATTTGTAATGGTAATATACCATTTGTAATGGTAATATACGATATAATATTTGTAATGGTAACATACCACGTAATCTGATACACAAGTGCATTAGAAAACAGCTTTGTTTGAAAAGCACGCTTTTGTAATCATGAGATGTTGGAGAGCCAGCTCTTCTCTGAAGCCTGAACGGTCATTTACTGTAGTGTATTCACAGTGACATTGTTCTTTCTGATTTAGACTTTAATAATACCTTTAACTGCTCTGCACCTTTCTTCTGTTCATGAGCTGCAGTCTCTGCCCGTCTTCATATGCTGTGTGTTTACCTTATCTCCCTATTGATTCCAGCATTTCTGTTTATGAGAACCAATAGCAGAGGTAGTCAGAGGTTCCTCCTGAGACGAGATGCTACAAGGCCCTGTTTACTGTCCTCCTCTCCTGGGTTTTGGCATTTATGCAGTTTGTTTTGATATTTAAGAGTTCAATCTATTAAAGTTTCTCTTGAGTGAATGAAGCAGTGGGTCAGATTTTCACAAGATGATACAGTTGATACTTCTAGCTTTGCTTTAGACTCTTTATTTCTACAGTTTCACAAGTGATCCACTTTTTGCAACCTTTAGTGTGTTAGCCAGCTATGTAAAGCCTCTATGACAACAGGCTTCACATCAGAGATGGAAGTAAGTACAGAGAGAATTTAATCTGGAGCATTTTCCTGGCATTAACTGCCCTTTGAAAGCCAATTCCTAGGGGTCCTTTCCAAAAGCCTCAATGACTAAGCCATATTAAGCTCCGCCCTTAGTGGAGCAGCTTTGCTAGTAAGACTAAAATCCCACAGTTGAACAAAGTAAACAAGTTGTCCAGAGCACGCACCGATGTGAAGGAATCAAACTCATAGAGATCAAGGACATGTATATATGTCCTTAAGGAAACAGCAGTTGGCCCATACAAATGAAGTGGTAGTGTAACTATGCAGAAGACATGGAGAGTACTCGTGATTGGCCTAAAAGAACAGAACAACACAACTGCTTATTACTACTCGGTATTTACTGTTTCATCGTGCTCTTTGATATTGCATTATTTTAATACATTTCACAAAGCTTCACTCTAATGAAGATGTGTGTTCCTGGCCATGGGCACTTAAATGCAGTTAGTGCACGGGACCGTTGAGTGTTTTGGAAAAACTCATTGTATAGGAGCGTATGATTCAGTCTTGTGTTGCAGCTGTTCAATGAGTATCTGGAATGAAAAATTATAGCCCTACATAAAAATATTTTCTAATGTGAAATCAGATTATGTATATGTTTCTTACACTCCAATTTTTGCTTAAAGCACACAATATGTGTTCTTTCATACATTGCATGGATAACTTCTACTAAATGCAAAAAAGTACACATCTGCAAAATCGCCAGGCCTTTTAAAGTTGATCCCAGGTAACTTGAAAGTGTGGGTACCGCCTCTCCTGGCACAGTATCAATGTGCTCGTGTCTAAATTATGCTGTAATGCTGAGTTTATTCATCATCCATCATGAACATGTGAGTGCCTATCACGGGTCAGGTGCTGTTTTAAACTCTGGGTATGACAGCAGCGCTGCTAGTAAGGTTCCCAGTGGCAGGGCGGGGAGGATCATCTGGATCCGCTCCTCTGCCGCACATGAAAGAAACTACATGATAAATGAGCCTCCTGGGAGTCCTGTGTGTGGGAATAAAACACAGACACGTGGTATCTTATGTGGTATATTTTATATTAGTTTCTATATATGTTACCTGTAGTGCATAAAACCACACTACAGGAACATTATAGTTTTTAATTTCCCTTTTTTACAGAAAGCATTGCTGGTGCAGCTGTGTTTCCTGCTGATAACAGATGAGCTAAAACTGGTTAGGTATTTTAGTTGGGGAGAACGTGCGTGATCTAAAGTCCATGTATCACATAGAGTTCCAGGGATTAGTTTGGATGCCGAGACATGTAGCCCACAGAGCCCAGAGCTCCAGGGAGCGCTCTGCAGGTAGAGCTGCAGCCAGCTGCGGCTCCTTCTCTTTCTCCTCCTGCGGGTCTCTGGTGGGTTTGCCCCAGGCTGGCTGTGGGAGTGATTGGAGGCCTCCAACAGCACAGCTGCCTGTGTCCTGAATTTTACTCATGGGGAAGGGGCTGGGATGGAGCAGAGGTAACAGCAGAAACCTCACTTGCCACCAGTTGAACAAAAAGTGTAGTTGTGTGAGTACTTCAGGAAAACGTGTGGTCTTATACTCTCTACTTCACTTAGAAAAGTGAAATACTCAGTAAAATACTGGCAGTTACACAGGCCTTGTCGTGCTAGATGGGCACATCAAACAACAGAGGCAACCTTG